AGTAAGTAAGTTAGAAATGTTATCATAAAAATTAAAAAAAAAATGATATAATCAATTTATAACTTGAATGTGTACGATTAATTCGATGTCATAGATTATGAAAAATAAAAATACATATATATATATACGTACAATTTATTATTTGTCAATTTTTATTTATTTTTTCAATTCTTGTGCTGAAACAAAATTTTACAAACAAATTTATCGATTACAATAAAGTCAATTAAAATAAAATGGATACGAAAAAGTCTATTATACATAATATCCATTGGCAATCTAATAATATTTCTATTTCTTAAATCATACAATAAATATAATATAAATGTTTGCAACTTTTCTTCGATCAAATTTTTTTCTTCAATCATGCTCCTTAAGTCTCAAAAAAAAGAAAAAAAATGCTGATAAAATATCGTTATCGATCAAAAGGGTGTAAAAAATGAGGACTCTGGCACAAAGTGTATCCATTTCGATTTTGAATGGACGTTCGTTCGAAGACCAAAGGGAGGCAATGGAGGTATTGCTTAATTGGCATATCAATCCCGGAGGAAACGAGAGATAATCGGTTGGCCGAGGCGGCACAATTGAGATCCCGCGGGTTAATAAAGTTGCACATTGACCACGATTAAGCTTTTCGGCTGACGTTCGACCCGTGTCGATTAATCGAATATGAAAAATCGCGAGCTCGAATCCCAACAATCTGTTCCTCGTTCGGATTATCCTCGAACTGATACTGAAAGTGTGCAAAATATATATAGATTTGAGTAACAAAACATTGGATTTTCTATAAATTTTGTAATTTATGATTGAATGATGATGAGAATGAGAAATTTTTTGTTATTAAAAAAATGTGAAAAAAAAAAATAATTGAAAAGAATTGTATGTATCAGTATAATAAAGTTGATAAAATTTTTTACAAGAATAAATTGAGAAGATCAATTTTATGAAAAATTTATTAAGGGAAAGATTAAACGAAGACGTTAAATTTCTTATAATTTCGTTGTACACGCTTATAATGAACGACAATAAATAATTAAACGTATCGGCCAATCGAAAATTTTCTTTTACGTTACGCACACGTGCAAAATTTCTGCAAAAGGATGTTCACGATAGTAAGTAGAGGGTATGCATCGCTTAAAATAAATCGTTCCACTTATCAAACTTGTGCCTTCGACCAAACCTCTTCTATATAACACACAACACAGGAAACAGCAGTATGGCGTGACCCAAGTTACCAACACTCGTAACGATAAGCTACAAAATACACGAACTTACGAACCATTTAAGACGGTTGGCGTTTCATTTTAAGCCTGGTTTTCCGATTTCTCTATCACGAAACATTGTAAAAAGGGGGTGGAGGATCAATCTCGAAAGGGAATCACGCTCAACGATTTCACGAAATTAATCGCGATTCCATCGTGTCGTCGAGACCGATTAATCTTCGAGACGATTCTTTAAGACGTACTCTTTTGGCCACAAAAGTATGTGAATTTATGGCCAAATAGAATCATGTATTATTCAAGAAAAGATTTTATGCGCATGAATGATAACATTTTGTTGTGATTGTATATCTTTTTTTGTTTTTTTTTTTATCTGAAAAAAACGAAAAGGATTATACGATAAAAATTATTTGTGTTGGATCTAAAATTTGGCAATAAAACAATCAAAAATAGATCAAAAATAGACAAATAGATTCTAATTGGAAATCGTTTCAAGTTGATATTGAATTTTAAGTATAAGTGAAAGATTAAATTAATTTTAAAAAATGCTTAAAATATATAAATTAATATTACATTTGATGAGTTTCTTTTTTTTCTGATAGTGAAAAAACTTGCCTCTAATATTTCAAATTATTTGAAAAACTAATGCTTTGAATGAAGTTTTATTGGTTACTATTATAATAACATTCATATGGAAATAGAAATATTTTTAATATTATTTATTACAATCATTAGATGATAAATATTTCATCTTTTCAATGTGTTATCGATACGTGATTTTTAATCAATATCTTGAAATTACAATTCATTCGAATGTGAATTTCTTAAGAAAAATTAATATTTCTGTTAACAATTCTTCTTCAATTTATTTATTTTAAGATAAAAGTTTTATATTTTCCTATTAATAAAAGAAACATGTAGTTTTAAATTATTTTTCTTTAAATATTTTTTCATCTTATAGAAATTAAATTGTAAACGTATTAAAAAAAAAAATTATTAGTACTCCTAGAAGAAATTTTAACTAACCGCCAAGATCAAGATGCTAATGAATTCAGAAAGGAAGGACATTCAAAATGGAAGTAGGACTAAGAAACAAAAAACGAGTTCTCCTACCGATATCTCGATATCATCGACTGTCCACAAAAGGTACATTGTTTCTTAGAAAAAAGTCACCATGCGGTGGATCACGGTTGGCCGATTACAGATCTCGATCCGATGAACGCCACTAGGTTGAACGACGAAATGTTCATCGACGAGAAAAAATTTTCTACAAGGTGGAGGAATCTTCCGGTTGAATTAATCGCGGATCTGCTTGGTAGAATCTCGAACATTCGACAATGGAACAAATGAGAAACTCGTAAATTCCCTTATAACAATTATCTTTCTTTAAGAAAATTAAATAGAAATTAATCGTGTAAATATTTAAAAAAATTGCTTACTCTAAAATTTGAAATTTCCATGAGTGATTAATTTTTCGTGGTCAAGGTTTCGTTGAGTCAACATTATTATCATTTTATTTTCGCTGCCTCAGCGTGATATTGAAGATTGTTGACACATTACTGACTGTCAAAAATGATACGATTAAAAATCTTGGTTAATTAATATCTGGTTATTTATATAAGATATAAGTAATTTAAATATTAGATATAATGAGATAAAAAAAGTGAAATAGCTCTATCTCCATTATAACTAGATTATGGATATTTATATGTTCATAAGAAATTTAAACATGTAAAAAGTATTTATAATAAAAATATTTAAAATAAAATATCTAAAATAGTATACTTATCACGATATTTATAGAATTTTTATATTTATTTTATCCTCCAAAATCGATTTTTTAAAATTAACGAATATATTAACATCTTATACAATTCTCTAATCTTACTTTAAATCCAATTTCTATTCCAAATTTTACTCACTTCGATAAGAAGAAAAGAATTTTATAATTCTTTCAAAAAATATTTGTTCTTCTTTCTTGAGAAAATAACAAACGAAATAGCAGAGAGGAAATGGGATTTCAATTTTCTTCGTTTATCTACATTGAACACACTAGTATTGAATAACTAATAGAATTTTTGAAAATTATGAGGACACATTTTAACATTCTGTTTTTGCTTTGAAATCATCGTTTTCACATCGATTCCAATTATACTCGATACGTTTATTTGTTTTCTTCATCAGGCAATAATAAATACTTATATTTTTATGCTTGCCATCTTGATGTGAACGAACAAAAATTAAAAAGTACAAAGATCGTAAACCACATCGAATGGCACAGAAGAAAAGAGATTAAGTTATGCGTTCATCAAAAAATAACTAGACAAAGCGTTCTCTATTCCATCTTCTTTGCTAGTATACGCGTTATTATTGGCTAAAGACAGTGACAAAGATCGACAATGGACATGTCGAAACAAAGTGAAATAGAATAATTTCATAGCACTTGCGATAATCCAATTAAAATATCAATTATAAACCAATAGAATTTCTTTGATTGAAAGACTATGTCAATGTTGTAAATTTATCTTTCTATTTTATTTTATTTCGATATAGTTATTGTCGAACTTTCTATTCACTGTTCTTAGTCAATAACCAATAATAATATAGTGTGGCAATGAAGTGAGAATAAAATAAAAGCGTAAATACTTTGTCTAGCCATCTTTTGGCAAACGCACAGTACTTAAGTACATGTAATAACATGTAACTCATATTCTTGCCTGAAGAGGTCAGCTTGACGCACGAAAAAGATGGCGATTTTTTAAGCGTACCGGAAACATCCATGAAAATTGTGTGCACGGCGGCGCATGAAATCACGGCAGACGTTGGCCGTGTAGCGTGTTTATCGACACGAGTGTTATCGTGGTCGGATCTTGCGCGAAGAGCAGCGCTCGTTCGGGTGGTACCAATTTGTCGTTCCTTTATCAACCGTCATCTGATGGCGACCCGACACCGCGCTGGGCCGCGGCCAACCGAATGCAACGTTGCCTTGAAGTGACACCGGGCCTACAATGGGGAACAAAGCGGCGTCCACTTCTTTGCCAGGGGTTTTGTTTCATTCCGCGGTGGACAAGCCTTGTTATTTGTCATGCATTTTGACCCTCGCCGATTTCATCTTGGATATTTTTCTCTGCCTGGTAGAGGTGCTCGCGCGCCAATTCTAAAGAAGGTTCGTACACGCGTGTCTCTGAGAACCGAGTGTTTTTCGCGAGAAGAAAGTGAACGGTGTATGATAAGGAATTGGTAAGTGATGTAAGATGATTTGTATTTCTGAAATATTTATTGTGCGTGTTCATTTTTTGGAAATGATTTCAAGTTACCGAAACAATAATATTTTAAATTAGGGAAATTAATAGATGATTATTCAGAATAAGTAAACTTAAGTAATAAAATAATTTAAATTTATATTGATTCTTAAATCGCTCAAAGATTGATCAGAATTATTTTTAACTAATATCTAAATCATAAAATACTAAATATATCGATGATCAAATATATGAAATAAAATAATATATGAAATAAAAAAATAAGAATGTAATTTTAGAATATTAATTAAGTTTTAATTAATTTGATTTAAGATTTTGATTTACAATGTATGAGAGATGTTCCTGTTATTTCTAATTGAAACGATGTGGATGATTGACTACGACTATATCGACAGTTATTATATCAAGATAACTGATTTTTTACGCTGGCTAGAAATAATAGAAATTGAATTTGCAAGAATATACAAGCTAAAAAGAAGATACAAGCATCTTGTACCGTCGATGCAGGTTCAATCACAGAGTACAAGTACAAGTCCAATGGCGTAATCTTCCTTCATGTCACTCGATCATCGTTCAGATGAATTTACAGGTGATTCGTTTTTGTCGAACAATACGTCGATTCAATGTTGATTCAATATTGATAAACGCTCCGTCATTCTCTTCATGTATTTTACACACTACTATAAATCCTTGTACAGTCCGCTATTAAAGACATACGCAAATACGAAAATATAAATCTTAAAAATATATCTTTCGATTCACTGTAAAAACATATTGCTAGAAATAATATTTCTGAAGAGCCCTTAATAAATCCAAAAGAAAACGTTTCTTACTTTTCGTGAAATGGCGATGTATAATTAAAAATATTTCTTTTAACCTAACCTAACCTTCTATGACATTTTACAATATTATGACATCTTAATCGCGTTATTGTGTTCCTTTGTCTTTTAGTTTCACACTTAACGGGCCATTATGATGTTAATGGCGTTATTAATTACTGGAAGAGACACCTCCAAGCTTCGATGAAGGTTTCCACAGTACGATACAATCTCTGCGAGGAGGCTCCATTAACCTTTAAACAGATGCTGAGAAAAATGAATAATGAGTCGTGCAATCGCGATTTCAGATGTTAAAATAATAAGCCGTAGAATGTGATCACATACATGATGTAGGTATCAATTATTTATGAATGACACGGGACAATTTTTCTACAAAGCTTCACACGAGTAACGAACCGGAACTAACGACCAAATTAAACCTATCTTTTGGGAATATCACGATATCTACATTTCTTTTTGTAACGTAATACCATTGAATTAAGCATTAAGTTAAGTTAAAAGGATAATACCTCGTGAATTTTTATTGATCAGAAACATCAAAAAGATTGCCATTTATTTAATTCTTATTTGAAAAATTATGATGAGCTTAGTTTGCATTCTAGAAAATATAAATTATCTATTTGTATATTACTGGAAAAAAAGAAAAAAAAATAGATTTTTCTCAGAATTTTTAAAGGTAACGTATTCATATAATTATACTACTACTAAAAAAAAAAGAATATTACAAAAATTTAAATATCTACAGAATATCTAACAAATCATAAGATAATTCTTTATTAAAAACACAAATAAAACTTATTATATAACATACATTACTTATATTATTTTTAATTCCAATCTATTCATTTCAGAAGATGAGAAATAAAAGATAAGAAGGAGTAACATCCAATAAATAAATAAATAAATAAATAAAAGCCAAGATCGAGAACAAAGAAAAGAAAAAGGAAGATGCACAAAGGTTTCTCCCAAAGATTGCACAAGGCGGAAGTCTCCATGCGTCCAAGGGTTAGCGGTCCATGTAAGAAAATGCTCGGTATAAGGCACCTTCCGGCGAAAATCCCTCGCTCTCTCGTGCCTCTCTCGCTGAATAATGAACCGTGTTCTCGAGTGGTTTGCGCGGTCGAGCGACCGGTCCCGTTTCCGTAAATTATAACCATTAGCGGCACTTGCGTTCCGCGGCCTCACGTCCCGGTAATTTTCGTGAAATTAAACGCGCCGAATCAATTACTCGTTGGTAATCGGGACGATGGCCGGACAACCGCGGTGGGAAATGGCGTGCGCGGCTGTCACCGTGCCAGGTTATCTGCGTTTGTCAAGCGTGTGCGCACAACTTGGTATCGTCACGAAACATTCCCATAAAAGTGTAATTTGCCCGTTGATTTTTGCCACGGTGTGTGTACAATGTGGCTGGACTCACCCGGCGGGAACGACAAGAGGATAATTGGAGGCGAAGTTGGCAACCGGTTCCTTGAGCACTTCCGTTCAGAAATAAGTTATCGATGTATACTTTTGAATATACGCGAGATGATTTGGGATGCTTTTGTAATCTTGCATCGAGTAAAATTTAACGTTTGAAATTTTAATGTTTTGTATAATTTCGATATATGGGACAATGGTTCTCAACCTTTATTAATCTTTATAATCTTGTGTTATCTCGATATTCGATTTCGTTTTATTCTTGCGTTCATTTTCAATATGTAAAAAGATAATAATTTTAAAAATCTGATAAATCTATAAATAGATTATAAAATGTTTTTTGGAGGATTTTAATTTAATAATGTTCTTTATAATCTTGTGACAAATTCAATGTTTAATTTAATTCTATTTTTATCACTATCATATTTGTATAGAACAGTGATTCTCAATCTATGAGTTGCAATCTATAAATGGATACGAAATGTTTTTTTTAGAGATTCTATTTTGGAGATTGTTTGCAGTTTCAAGAAAATTTCAATATTCACTTTTGACATATAGAACAGTACTTCTCAACCTGTGGCTTGCGATCTCCATAAAGAAGTCTATTTTAATCCTTTATAATTCTCTTTATGTCAAATAAAATTCAATATTCACTTTGAATAAGTAAAACAGTGGTTCTCAACGACTCGTAAAAAGATATATTATCATTTTTAGTTTTTAATTTTTGGAGATGAATGAAAATAACAGCGTGCTGGAACCAGAATAAGTTTCTGACAGAAAATTCGTCCTGGGAGGCGCGTGTTCGTTTTTAAAAGGAGGGAGAACTCGCTCCTTGACCTGTTTCATAGCTTATCCGTCACGCTTGTCGACTTTCGGGACACGAGTATCCACGCTGCACGATACCAACCTGCTGTGTCTCGGGACAAATTTATGAATTTGACAAGGAAACATATGAAACGAGAATAGAAAGAGTTTTTGGACATCGTTCAAGGACGATCTTCAGTTATGAGATCTCTGGTGAGATTGGATCCTTGATTCAATCGTCGACAGTTCTTTCTTATTACCCATCATATCTACGATCATCGTACAAGGATTCTTAAGGTTGACAAATATAATTATTCATGCAATGTGAAATTTATTCGATAATTCTTAGAATTGTTGTCGAGTGGAAAATATATTTTATTTTTAAAGTATAAAATGGATACGAAAATTGTAGAAATAAAAATTTTCCAAACTTTAACTCTGTGTTAAGATTTAGATTAAAAGATCTACGTGTAATTGTGAATTCTTGGAAATTGTATACGAGATAATTTTATAATTCATTTCACGGATGTCATAAGATTTCACCTTGACAACAACCTGTAATTTCAACGCGTGTATTACCAATTAATCATTCATAAAACGAATACGACAATACCTGTTTCCATTTCAAAGGCAAGAGTCCTCGAATGATCCAACGTTTACGAGTTTAAAACATCGATTAATATATTCGATAATCGCATTGAAATCGATTACCGTCATCCGAACGTCAAACGTATTCATGAAACCAAACGTAAAAAGACGGACTTACCAGGCAGGTAGGCAGTAACATATATCAACTTATCTTTGAAAAAGAATGAGAATTACATATCATAATCCTATCTTGAATCTCGTGACGATGCATAATTTAACAACTTTTTTTTTTCCATTCGTTATTTCATATTGATATATATTCAAAGGAGAGAGAGAGAGAGAGAGAGAGAAAATTGTCCGCCATCAGGAGTGGACAATCTTAATTTTAGTTTTAAAAATTATAATCACGGAAAATGAGTGAACAATAGGGTGGATAGTGATAAGAAATTTCGATTTTTGTCAGCATATATCAGGGTAATGAGCAAAAAAGAGTAGAAGAAACGAATCGATTAATCTCTTTGATAAATAAATCTCGTTTCGATCGATTGCCTTTCGATACGCGTGAAATACTATCTGACATAACCACGTCGATGACTGTGTCGTTTTTTGTGATGCAAATAATTTGTGTCATTTGTGCACTGTTGACAGAGTGGTAATTGCGAAATATTTGATTTTAATCGCAGTTAAAAGGAAAGAATACGTTTATTTGGCAATAAAGAATTATTGCATTGTAATTATTATACTGTGACTTATTACGTTCTAAGTTTTTATCACAAAAGTATACAAGTATAGATTCATCAGATTGATTACTATATTTCAAAAATTTCATTATTACTATTCACAAAAATCCAAAAATATTAGCAAACTATAAGTATAAAACATCTCTCTGTCGTAACAAAATTATTATTCCAAAATTTTGCTATTTATAAAATAACAGTAATCATATTGTAAAAGACATTAATCCAATCACTATTTCAAAAGATTCAAGTATCAAGTTCCAAAAATTTCACTATTTATTTCAAAAATACAAAATAATAATGCAAGTAAAATTATATGTAAATTATGGACTTTAATAGAATTCGATGAAAAAGATAGTCGTGTCGCGAAGTAAAAAAATTCAGAGAATTTCATTTCGGATTATAAAAATCGAAAGATAGTCGCACGTACAATAATAGAAGATTCCAACGTACACGGTGCACGATACGAATGGCTCAACCGTGGAACTATCCACTATCGACAGATCACGGCGGCGAATACCTCGGCCCGTCCGATCAACGCCGAATAAAAATTCCGCTGACACTTTCCAACGATCGCAACGAGATATCTGCGCGCGCAGAGACGCGCCATTTGTTCCCTTCGACCGGTGACCGATAAGAAGCGCGCCCGTAATCCGCTTCGATCCTTCGATTTGACCTGGATTTATGCGATCGCGATCGAGACTTCTTCCTCGACGTGACACCGAGCTTCCTCGAGTCTCCATCTTCGCCGATTTCGTTTCAGGTGCATCGGTTGGCAAGGCCAACCGATGCCAGTCATCGTATCTCGTCGATTGATGAATCGTCCTTGTGTATCGTTCGTGTGTATCTCTCGATACGCTTGGAGACCAGATTCGTGTCGTTGATTTTCTTTCCTTTTTTTTTTGTTTTGTTGCACATGTATGTATGGATATACTACATATTCTATACTTTCTTTTTTTTTTTTAATTGATTTTTAGAAACCTAAGTTTAGAAACTTTAGAAACTTTTACTTAACATTGATTATCACCGTTCTTCACGTTTTCATTTTATATCATTTGAAATAAAAGTTTCGTGCAATCTAAATTAAATGATATTTAATCTGATATTGATTTAGATATATATCTTTTTTGGCTGTTCTTTTTTTAAATCTAATTATTGCAATAAATTATTGCTCGTTTCTTGATACCTCGCGCTGGTACTCTCTCTTGGAACGAGAATCCGTGTCACTGATTTTGCGATTTCTTTCTTTTCTTTTTCTTTCGAATGTATGTTTGTTGTTCTATAATTCCAACGTCTTCAAACATTGGTAAGAATCTTTTTCAACATTTTATATTGCCAAAATGTATTGCAGTATAAACGCTTATCCATCCTTTCTCTATCGAGACATTCGCTTTATTCCAAAAAATACGAAACAATCTTCTTGTCATCAATATTTCCATTCCGTTCATTTTCGTCTTTTTTCTGCCACCAGACAAGAATATCAATTATCCTCTATACTAATCGATTACATTTCAAATTACACTAGTACTATTCGATAAAAATCAATATCCATCATCCGCCATAAACTTTCGCTTCTCTAACATCGATATCGATAACAAACGTTAAAACAAAATAAAATCTATCTAAACACTCGAAGGGAAGGGGAAGGCGAGAAAGATTCTTCTATTCTACGATACTTTGTTCGAAGTACCGCGATATCTCCTCCCACGTGGCGGTGGATAAGACGATCCAGGAGAGGGGGAGGGAGGGGGGGAGAGACCGAGGTCCGTAGCCATTAGAAGAGCAGAAA